CTGGCTCCATCCCCGCCCCTTTGACCTGTCTGTTTCCTCTCCACCTATCTTCTCCTCTATCCATCTTCTATCCGCCTCCCCCTCTCTCCCTATTTATTTGAGAACCCCATTCCCCTTCCCCATTTCTGAAGAAGGACCTAGGCCCGAAACGTCAGCCTTCCTGCTCCTATGATGCTGCTTGGTCTGCCGTGTTCATCCAGTTCTACACCTTGTTATCTCAGATTCTCCAGCATCTGCAGTTCCTACTATCTCTGATAGGGTTTCTAAGATGTTTACATTTTGTTACTGATGGATAAATGTGGTCAGGACTTTAGGAGAATGCTTCTTTTTTGAAATGAATGCCAAGGTTTTTGTTTTACGTTCATGCTAAGAGGAGATTGGTTTGATGTTTCATCCCAAAGTGACATCTGTGCTCAAATTAAAAGTCCTTCACTCATCAGATGGTGAACATATGGGATTCTCTACTACAGAAGGTTGTGGAGGCCAAGTCACTGAATATATTCAAGAAATAGTATTTTTTTTAGGCTTTAGGTTTTTAGGTTTTAAAGGAATCAGGGATATGAGGAGAAAACAGGAATGTAGCATTAAGATAGAAGATCAGCCATGATCAGAATGAATGGTGGAGCAGGTCAGAGGGCTGAATGGCCCACACCTGGTCCTATTCCATAATTTTATGTTTCTAAGCTCTGCAATTAGACTTGAATCCTTGACCCTGTCATTCCTAGGCAAGAATGATTCCAGCTAAACCAAAGTGTTTGTCATTTTATTTACAGACACGTTATCTTCTCAGCAAAATGACTCTGCTTATGACAGCACTGACCAGGATGACTGGAAAGATGGATGGAATGAGAAAAGGCGACGTGCAAACTCAAATTGTTACCAACTATGGAAGAGCAATGGAGAGCTGAGAATGGACAGAAAGCAGAATGGTAAAATTGACATTGACGCTGGAGACTGCACTATGACTTCTTGTAGCACTGAATCAATGGATGCCACTGATGAAGCAACCTTGAGAGCCAAGGCCACACCCTCACCTGCACTCACAATTGAATGTTATACTGTAAGGATAAACAGACGCTGCTCAGAACCAATATTAGGTATCAATTCGAGCCAAAAAATGATCAACCAGCAGGAATTATTAGCAAGAAGTCACGATGATTGCTCAATCTCAACTGATGGCCTGCATTTTGATAGCCAACAAATGGAAAAACAGGTATCTGAGGAACATTTTACAAAGTATCAGTTTAGCAACAGGATTGCAGACAACCTTAATGCCAGCTCACATTCTGAGCTTTCCACTGCATCCTCCTCGAAGGCCTCTTCCATTTCCTCATTGGCTAGTTCATATTCAAACCTTTCGGAAAACTCTGTTTTTATCATCTCTCCGCTCATTTCCCCAACTTGTTGCAGTGAGGAGAATTCCTCCTTTTCAGAATGTCCAGAAAAACTTCAAACAAATTCTATTCAGGATCCTGATAATAATGCAAAACCTATGAAAGAAAAAGTCAAGAAACTGCTGAAAAAGACTCAAAGCTGGGGTCCTATAAGGACATTTAACACAAACCAGGAATCTTCCAAGGAAAATAGTTGGAAAGAAAAAGTTCCCACTTGTGAGACAGTCCATGAGGACCAAGGCAATCAGAGCAATGCTGTCAGGTACAGGGCACGCACAATTTCAATTGATGAGGTTTTTCAGCGAGTTGATAGCAAAAGACTTTGTAGCCCACCTCCATATCATAAAGCTGTTGAAGAAAATAATCCACTTCCCCCTGATGCTACAAGGAAAGGAATGACTGTGAAAAACATGAGAAGGTTGTCTCAATTGGAAGAAGTCAAGAAACTCTATTGTCCAGTCATTGCTGGGAAGAAAACTAGGCCTTATTCTTTAACAGAGGACCTACTCTATCCTTCATGGCAAAATCATTGCACAAACCATTCTGACTCTTGTGCTAAGCAGGCACAACCTAAACCTACTAATCAGTGTGAAGATTCACGCAACAATTTTGAAAACAATATGCACCCTACAGGATTTGAAAAAGCAAAACAGTATAGGGGGAGAGCCATGTCTGAATGCCTAAGAAGAAGCAAGCATGAACTGTTATGTAAACATTTCAGTCAAAACCTTGAGGACTATGAACAGATTCAGCATGCTAAAGAATCTTATGTGTAATATGGGTAAAAGCTGTAATTTCTATGCTGGGGTTCAGTTAAAGCACTAATACAGTCAAAAAAGCTTTTGGCATGTTGCAATGTCCTTAAATACTGACCTTCAATTAGTTAAGACTTATGGCATAAAATGGCATTATAATATGCCATTATTTGGGGTTTTTGAAACTCCCTGGGGCAATTGTAGCCTAATTTTCCAAATAAGAAACTAGGAGGGTCAAGTGAAATCCTGATTTTATACCCTACCCAAATTGGGGCATTTTCAACCTATTCTGTCATTTGGGATTCTGATGACACATTAGCTTTACACTCCAGCTAAGTTTACCCATTGAAGTCAATGTATAATATTGGACAAGTTCTAAAATCAGTGTTCCACTTAATCTGGTTAATTTCTTATTCAGTGAATTGGTGTGAAATTGTACTCCGATCCTGCCACCCGCCCTATTACTAATCATTAGACAATATTGAAATGAAAATCTATGTTATGCAATTTCAATATGAAATGGTGGAAGGGATTCAAAGTTGTTGCCATGACTCATATTTAAAGTGATATCACTGATCATTGTACATTTTGTGTGACATCCCTTGTAAATATTATACATGAAAATTATCAGAATTCTCTGTGTATGTAAAATTCTTTGCAAAAATGTTTAACTTTTTCACTACGATAATAAAAATGTTTCCATTGGATCCTGTTCCATTTATTTCATAATTAAAATGAATTGCTATGTAAACACCATCATAGTACCTTTAGCCCATTGGTTTAATATTCTAGTCTTTCAACAAGTATGAAACCATGTCCTGAGATTCAGATACTTGAAGTCTGGTCAATTAATGCCATTACGTTGCAATCTGATACATCAGTCTGGGGTAACTGTATGAAGACTCATGAGGAGGCATTTTAACTTTAAGGAATGCATGGATTTGGATATGGGCAAGGGGAGGATATGACAAATTCAAGCTTATTGGTGTCAACTCATCAACTTCTACACATAACTTAAGTATGTTAGCCTGTTTGTATAAACTCCTAGGGAGAGACAGATTGCTTATTAGCATTTGCTAATTGCTCACTTGGAGGAATATTTCAGTAATGCTTTCAAATTTAATGAAATATTTGTGGATTTTCCAGGCTTCCTGATACAAAGTGAAAAAAAGCAAGAGCAACTGAAGAAGTGTTATGACACAGAGACAGACAGCCTTTCTAATTCTGTATTTGCAACACAATAAAATTAAAACCTTCAATCCCTCAAAATTAACCCGAATGTTTCCTAACCAGACTTTTCCCAGACTCTATGAACAGTCAATTCCAGACACCAGATTGTATCTTAAACAAAGGGTTTAGCAATTCATTAACAACACAGTAACTTTAGCAGAGTAATCTAGTCAATGTTTATGCTTTAATCTCAAAAGCCTTTTCTTTTTCAGCCCCACTTACACAAAATACAGACAAACAAACACGATGAAGGGACAAAATAAAAGAAAGTAATCAAACTGTCAAGATTTCATGATGTGTTGTTCCACAGGTGCAGATGATAGTTTCTTAGTTGATTTTCTGAAGATGTCAATCAGAGTCACCTTTACAGTTCCCTCAGATAAAGGCAATAATGCTTATACATATAACTTATTTTTCTATTATCTCAGCTTCCAAGAGCTGCTAATGGGTAATTAGGCAGGGATCTTTATAATTTCCATGCTGTCACATCAACAGCCAACTTCCTTCTCATTGAAAGCTCAATTTAAAGCCCAATTCAAACTCTGACCACTGCTTAATAGACTGTCATCTCCATCAGATCCCAGTTACTATTCACCATCTTCCATAACTCTTTTCCAGATTTGTTTTAATGAATTCGTAGGTACAGACCTCATTAAGAGCCAACCTCTACTACCTGCTTAAACATAATGCTCTTCCCCAGTGACAAAGCATCTGCAGAACCTTTGACCAGGAATCAACCTGCAATTAACTTCCAGGCTGGCCTCACAAATAAGCAAACGCTTGTTTGGTCTGTTTTCCTGTTGACATAAGTTGTTAACCACAGTCCAAAACTCATCTTCAGGTCACAGTTCCCAGTTCACAGCTCCAAACCTAAACTGATAAAAGAATAAAACAAAAAATAGTGACAAATCAGCAACGGCTCCAAAACATAGCAGCTTCAAGTTATAGAGTCATAGAGTAACACAGTATGGAAACAGACCCTTCAGTTCAACTAATCCATGCCAACTGAGTTTCCCAAACTAAACTAGTCCCACTTGCTTGCCTTTGGCCCATATCCTCTAAACATTTCCCATTCATGTACCCATCCAAATGCTTTTTTAAATGTTGTAACTGTGCCTGTATCTACCACTTCCTCTGACAGTTCATTCCACATATGAACCACTCTCTGTGGGAAAAAGTTACCTCTCAGGTCTCTTTTAAATCTTTCTCTTCTAGTTTTGAACTCTGCCCACCCTAGGGAAATGACCTTTGCTATTCACCTTATCTATGCCCCTCATGATTTTATAAACCTCTATAAGGTCACCCCTCAACCCCCTAAGATCTGTGAAAGAAGTCCCAGCCTTTCTAGCCTCTCCTTATAAGTCAATCCCTCCACTGCTGGCAACATCCTGGTAAATCTTTTCTGAATCATCCTCAATTTAATAATTTTCTTCCTATAGCAGGGCGACCAGAAATGTACACAGTACTCTAAAAGTGGCCTCATTAACATTCTATACAACCTCAACTTGACATCTTATACTCAATGGCCTGAGCACTGAAGACAAGCACGCTAACTGCCTTCTTAACCACACTGCCTACGTATGACACAACTTCCAAAGAACTATGTACCTGAACTGCTAGGTCTCTCCATTCATGGAATTATTATAAATAAATACTCAGTACTCACAGCTACTATCAGGCTGAGTGAAAAAGGATTTGTGTCTGACACTTTGGCTGAGAGTTTTGCTGAATCACGTCAGCGCAAGTGCCACTTTGTCTTAGATTGGATCTCAGATGTGGAACAGTGTGACTCTCACTGGCAACAGCCACACTGATGAGACACCAGTAGCTAGATCATAGAGGTGAGCAGCAAAGGGGTTCACCTTGCTCGGAACACTGTTGCAGTTTGTCTATTATAGATAACTCCACGGTGATATTAGGAATGGGGTTTCAGGATTTTCATCCAGAGACAGTGAAAGAACAGCAATGTAGTTTCATAGAACATGGAACATAGAACAATACAGCACAGTACAGGCCCTTCAGCCCACGATCTTGTGCCAACCTATTATCCCACTAAGTTCAATCTACCCTGCATACCCTACATTTTACTATCCTCCATATGCCTATCCAAGAGTCGCTTAAAAGTCTGTAAATAATCTGACTCCACTACCACTGCTGGCAGCACATTCCACATGCCCACCACTCTCTGTGTAAAGAACCTACTTCTGACATCTCCCCTATACCTTCCTCCAATCACCTTAAAATTATGCCCCTTTGTAATAGTCATTTCCACCCTGGGGAAAAATCTCTGACTATCCAGTCTATCTATGCCTCTCATCATCTTGTACACCTCTATCGTGTCACCTCTCATCCTTCTTCGCTCCAATGAAAAAAGCCCTAGCTCCCTCAACCTTTCTTCATAAGAACTGCCCTCCAGTCCAGACAGCATCCTTGTAAATCTACTGTGCACCCTTTCTAAAGCTTCCACATCTTTCCTCTAATGAGGTGACCAGAACTGAACAGAATATTCCAAGTGTGGTCTAACCAGGGTTTTATAGAGCTGCAGCATAACCTCACGGCTCTTAAACTCAATTCCCCTGCCAATGAAAGCCAACACACCATACACCTTCTTTACAACCCTATCAACTTGGGTAGCAACTTTGAGGGATCTGTGAACGTGGATCCCAAGATCCCTCTGTTCCTCCACACTGCCGAGAATCCTGCCATTAACCCTGTATTCAAATTCGACCTTCCAAAATGAATCAGGTCAGGATGATGTGTAACTTGGAGAGATACTTGCAGCTGGTGATGCTCCCATGCATTTGTTGCCCTAGTTTTTCTACATGGCAGAGATTAGGGGCTTGGAAGATGCTGTCAAAAGAGACTTGGTGAGTTGCTGGAATGCTTTGTGCAGGTTGCACACACTGCTGTCATGGTACTTTTGCAATGGAGGGAGTGCATGTCTATGTCGATGTATTAATTTCTGATTAATTTGGCTTCATTATTCTGATGGCATTAAGCTTTGTGGCTGCTACTGGAGCTGAAGCCAACCAGGCAAGTGGAAAGTAATCCATCACACTCCTGACTTATGCCGTTCTGGGCAAACTTTGGGAGACAGGTGGTGGGTTACACACTGCAGAAATTCAGGCATGCAAAGGATTTAAAATTGATAAGGAGGAGGTATCGATAGGCTAGTTGCACTTAGAGTTGATAAGGCACCAGGATCAATGGAATGCATCCAAGGATACTGAGGGACGTGAGGGTGGAGGTAGAGGCACTGGTCATAATTCTGTAATCTTCTATAAAGTCAGGGATGGTGCCTAAGGAACAATAATTTCTAATGTTACACGCTACCTAAACAAAAGGCATAAAGTTAAGCCCAGGGACTATAGTTCTGTCAGTTTGGTTTCACAGTGGGGAAGATTCTGGAAATGATCATTTAAGCCACAATTAATAGTAACATAGGCAAATGTAGGTTAATTACGGAAAATTAGCACAGATTGGTTCAGGGCAAATTGTATTTAACTAACTTGCTAGAGATTTTTTTGAGGTAACAGAAAAGATTCAGTAGGGTAATGCTGTTGATATGGTGTACACATGTTTCCAGAAAACATTTCTCAAAGTGCCACACAAGACACTTGTGGGAAAAGTTATAATTCATGGAATAAGACGGGGCACATCAATATGGATACAAAATTGGCAAAATGATAAAAAAGAACAGCAAGCAGTGGTTAATGTGTGTTTATTTTTAGACTGGAGAAAGGGCCCAGGAATTGATCTGAAGAACCATGCTCCTCGCCATACATTTTAATGACCTACACCTTGGTGTACAGGGCACAATTTCAAAATCTCCAAATAATTCAAACTTGGAAGTATTGCAAACTGTGTTGAGGATAGTGTAGAGGCTCAAGAGGACATAGGCTGATTCCATGGATGGACAGATCATAGAGTCATAGAGGTACATAGCACAGAAGTGGCAGATGAAATTTAATACAGTGAAGTGTGAATCGATTCATTTTGATAGAAAGAACTCGGAGTGACAATATAAAATAAACAGCAATTTCCTAAGAGGGTGGAGGAGCAGAGGGACTTGGGCATACATGTTTATAAATTTTTGAAGATTGCAGAAAAGATTGACGGCAGCATCCGTCATAGTGACATTGAGTATAAAAGCAATGAAATTATGTTAAACTGATGGAGAGCACTGGTTTGATTCCAACTAGAGTATTGCACTCAGTATAGAATGCTACATTTCAGGAAGGATGTAAGGCATGGGGGAGAGTGTAGAAAAGATCCCTAAGGTTGGTCCCATGCAGGAAAGAGGAACTTCAATTGCATAGATAGATTGGAGAAGCTGAGATTCTGTTTCCTGGACATTTATAAAGATATTCAAATTGTGAAGGGTGTGGACAGATTAGATAGGAAAGCAAACTGTTCAAATTGGAGGAAGGATCAAGAACCAAAAGG